TAATCCGTGGATACTAATTACCTAATTTGCATAATGATTAGTCAATTTTCGGTTTTTCCACTGATATCTCAAGTACTAATCATCACATTTCAATGAAACTTGGTACATAGATGTCATATGACACTGCACAGACCTGATAGTTTTTATGGTAATATCAGTACATGTAATTACCTAATTTGCATAATTAATTAATTTTCAGCTTTTGATATAAATAGTGAGCATTACATTTCAATGAAACTTGGTACTTACATACTCAAGGACTATGCAGAGATTGATTGTTTCGGATAAATATTTGTGCATAATTAGTTAATTTTCAGCTTTTCCACGGGTATCTCAAGTACTAATCATCGCATTTCAATGAAACTTGGTATATAGATCCTTTAGGACTATGCAGAAACCTGATTAGTTTCAGGGTAAATAATTTGCATAATTAATTTTCAGCTTTTCTACTGATATCTAAAGTACTACCGTAATCATCACATTTCAATCTATCTAAAATTATGCAGAGACCCAATTAGTTTTTGGTAAATATTTGTGCATATTAATCACCTAATTTGCATAATTAACCAATTTACAATTTTCACATTGATATCTCAGGTACTACCGTAATCATCACATATCAATGAATGCTGTAGGACAATAGACAGACCTGGATAATTGTGGGTTAAAATCTGTACATATTAATTACCCAATTTGCATAATTAACCAATTTTAAGCTTTCACACTGATATCTAAAGTACTAATTTCCATTTTAATGATGCTCTAGGACTCTGTTCATATTATTTCCCCAATTAGCATAATAATTCATAATTTTTTGGTTCTAATCACATTTCAATTAAACTTGGTACATAGAGTTTTTGTTACATTGCGCAGACCTCATTAGTTTTACAATCAAATCTGTTCATGTTAATTCTCTGATTTGCATAATTAGTTTTCAGCTAAGTAATTTAATGTGTCTCCAATACTCTCAGCACATGGGAGTTCTTTCTAAGCTTTCTTTGATTTTATTTTTTGTGTGTCTTTGATATTCCATTATCACTCTTTGATTGATTTTCTTTAAATTTAACCATGGCAAGAGTCTTAGTATTTACATGTACACTATCATGAATAAAAATCATCACAACATTCAATCTCTACAAATATATCTGTCACCACACGATCTTGTGCTTGTCGTTGATGCATCACAACCAAAACATTGCCTTGTTGCTGCTGAAAGCATACCCGATGTTTGTAGAAGAGTTAGTCATCAATACTACAAAGTGTTTTTGTTTATTTCCTCCCCTATAAATCAACAGAAATGTCAGCTTAGGTAACAGAGTTATTTCAGTTATACTTTAGGTGTTCTAACCACAAGGAACTCTGGAAAGGAGATGCACAGCATTTTAACATTCCCTGCTGTCACGTTATTCATAGTTATATTTCTCAGTCCTTCAGTTAATATGTCCCTGCTTTTCTACATCTTATACATAGCTATCTGGTGATGTCAGAGAGAGAAGATTTAGATGATGAATATGAAACAGAACATGATAAGAGAAGACGACAGGTATTTTGAAATCAATAGTCCCACAGTTTGCTGAAATGGTGACTACTGTATCCATCCATGCATTCAAAACGATTGCTTGGACATGCATCAACCAATGTGTTTGAAACTTGGTAAACAGTACATGTCATACTATGCACAAATATGGCCAACTGGTGATGTTTCAAGGCTTGTCTTGCTTATATACCTTTTTTTTTAACTCCATGCAGCTCTCATTAAAAGATCCTGTGCACTCGGTGTCTCTCAGAGACTTCACTATCAACAAGCTGTCAGCATGCCAACAGATCTATGGACAGGGAACGTTTGAAACCATGATGGAAACCGTCGATGTTGAGATTGTGCAACAGATGCAACAGTTTGTAAAATAAGAATATTCAACTCAAAGTGTCACAATTAATACGCCTGAAGTAACATCAGTCAGTGCTTTCATACAGTAGAAACTATGCCTTAATGAGCTAACGCTAGAAAACTGTGTAGTAACTGTTGATTTTGGTACACTCAATTTCATCAATGTTTTTATATCAGGTATTTATTATTTTAAAATGACCAATCATAACTTTGATGCATGGCAGTAGTTCAGCCAATTTTGAATAAAAACTGCAATGACTCCTGGGTAATAGCCGTCTTGAATTTGAATGTAGCATAAGGGTCTGGGTCTTTTGAAATAAATGATTCATAAATTTTCATAAAACCATATTCGTTGCTTTTGTGAAATAGTGTATCAAGATCAGATACATGTTTCTCTGCCACTCATTGGGGTGGGATGACAACATTTGTACAGTTATCTTTCCCTTCAAGTTATTTATTACTACATTGTTGTCTACTCACCATCCAAGTAAAAAGTTTAGCAGTAATGCATTTTTAGACCCTATGAACTATAGTGCAGGTGTTTTATTGTGTCATTTTGAGTGAAGCAATAAATTGCAGTTCAAGAGTTCAGGTATAAGCAAATACAAAGTTATGTTTTAATGATTGTTTTTCATGTTTTTATTATGTAAATTTAAGACTTGCATTTATTTTAATCTTGTTTCTTGCTGTTCTGAATTTTGACATTTCCCATTGCTGTTACCTGTGAATAAGAACCTTTATTTACTCATCAAACCCTGCTCTAAACAGTTGTTACATGCAAACACACTGCAGTTTTTTTCCACACACACAACAAATAAAACTGCCATAAACATTGAGTTTATTCAGGCATGATTCCGTAGTAATCTTTGTATTGGCAAGGTTTAAATCTCATTTCTATGGAAATATATGCTTATTGCATTAATGGCAAAAAAATTGACTTTTGTGAAGCTCTGACTCAAAGATGTGGTGACCTTCCAAAAAAATAAACACTGTTAAGTTAAAAAGTAATTAATGTTGGTTTATGAGTTGATACACCAAAAGGTAAGAAAAAGCTCC